GATGCCTCCTTCAAAAGCGGCGACGGCCAACTCCCGCCATTCCTGCGAAAGGGCCTCGAAGACCTCAAGCGAATCGCCGCTGAGGTAAGCGTCGATCGAGGGCACCTCAAGTCCCGGTTCGACCTTCAGGAGGAACATCTCCAGGTAGGTGAGCCAATTCGCCATTTGGCGCGTATGCATCCAGCCTTCGTTGGCCGTCTTCTGAGCGTCTAACCGCACTTTGCCCCAGGCGTGGCCCCAGCAGTTCAAGACGCGCGAGGGCGGTCTTCGTAAGGACGGCGTCTTCAGGCGGGGGAGCGAGCCAGATAAGTGAATCGGACGCCGGGTCCGTGAATGTGTCAGAGTCGTCAGGCGAGTGAGAGAGACGGGTAAGTGAATCCGTTGGATCCATGGGGACGCTGGCCAATTGATGCATGACTTCGAGCCGTCGCTCGGCGGACGGCTCCAGAGCGAGCAGATAGACGTAGCCGCCCGAAATGATGAGATCGGCGGCGCCGCCCTTTATGCTTCAGACACATGACGACGAATGGGACTAAGATCCGCGAAACCTCTCGGCTCGTTCCTCGCCAATGATCTCGGCCAGTGGAACAGCGGCATCACCCCACTGGTCCATCTTGTCGCGCACGGCCAGAGGGATGAGGTCGGGCGGGACTCCGAACCAAGCGTAGGTGTCCAACGCCGCTTGAAACGCCGGGGGCAAGGCGCGCGTAGGCGCGCAAAGGATGGTCGCACGATAGCAGAGATTCCAGCTTCACGGACGCTTCTGTGTCTGAAATATTTTCCTGGCCCGACTGCCTAGCTCCCGTGGCGGTCGAAACGGGTGAAGCTATCGAAGTAATAGGCGTTGGAGTTGTGGCAGCCGCCGGCACTTGGTCGTGGCCGTTCGACAGGACGAGGACTGCCAGTCCGAAGCCGAGAACCGCGAATGTTGCGGCGATGAGGAGGACTCCCACTGTCGTCCAGGCGCCAGAAAGACCCACCGTTGCAACCCACCTCAGGTATGTGGTCGGTACCAATCGTTGCCCAAGAGACCACACTCGCCGGTCGCCTGGATATGCGTTTTTTCATTTCGTTTTTTTTTTTTTTCATCATTTTGTTTTTCACATCACATCATTTTTCTTTTCCAATTCCATCATCACATGTTTGAGCGAGGGTCCTCATCGCATTGGTTTTGGGGCGACAGGTCTCCTTTCGGGCCCTCTTGGTCGAAGTATTGTTTCAGCATTTCTCGTGCATCATCTATTGCCTCAGTGCCGTAGACTCTACCTCGGACAAGACCTGCTCAAGGCGTTTATGCGCCCGGCTCAGGCGCGACTTTACGGTTCCTTCGAAACAGCCCAGCGCCCTTGCAATCTCGGGTACCGTGAGCTCGTTGTAGTACCGCAGAATCAGAACTTCCCGATGGTCGGCAGTGAGCAGGTCCAGGTGCCTGTCCATACGTTTTTTTTTTTTTTTTTTTTTTTTTTTGTTTGGGTTTTTTTTTTTTTTTTTTGGTTTGGTTTTTTTTTTTTTACGTTTTTTTTTTCTATTTTTTTTTTTGGTTTTTCATTTTTTTCTTTTTTTTTTCCTTTTGTTTGTTTGGGGGCTTTCTGTTCGCCGCGTTTTCGCCCGCCTCTTCCGGCGCGCCGGCTCGCCCGCCCCTTTGTCGCTTGCTTCCAGCCGGCACGGTCTTCACCCGTTTCTTTCGGTAGTGCTTCCTGGCCTTGTTCAGTAAGATCTTCAGCGTCCATGCTTTGAAGCTGCCGTAGGTGGGGGGGCGGTATGGAGGCAGGTCTTTCCAGATTTGGATGAGGGCCTCCTGCATCACGTCCTGAACGGACTCCCGGTCACGTGTCGCAAAGTAGGCCGTTCTGGTCAGCGCCGTTCTATGCCGCTCAAGCAATAGCTCGAAGGCATTCCAGTCGCCGGCCTGTGAGCGATGGATATGCTCTTCTTCATTCAAAGAACTTTCACCTTTCATCAATCGTCTCTATATATGGTAGTCCGCATTTCTATCAAATCGTTCCATCGTGTCCGGAGCGGAGCTACTGCCAGCCAGCCCCTGCCACGAGATACTGTGATCGTGGGTGCGATGGGTCACGAATTGTGCCGGCGAACATCCCACCAGCCACGGCACATCGCCTATGAGGCGGCTTGGCGAGTTTCTTGTCGGGCTTAGAGGCCGATGAAGTCCCAGCGGACGAGTCGTTCGATCCACCAGGCTAGGGCAAGCAGCGCGAGGGTGTAGTGTACCCTGCCGAAGACCGACCACCATCCTTCTCGCCATGCACGAAATGTCAGGTAGAGAACCAGTGCGGTCGCGGCCCAGACGAGGTAAGGCACAATGAACCAGGGACGTGCCGAGGAGAAGTACCCGAAGTTTCTGACGAGGTCATCGGTCATCTCTCCGTTATCGAGTATCCACCTTGTGAACCCCCAGGTGGCGAACAGTCGCAGCAGCGATCACTCTTGCAGCATGCCGCGACAGAACCGAGCGGGGACCATCGGCCGAATGGAGCTAAACATAAAATCAGCGGCCATAAGGTGAGGACGGATAGCGTGACATATAGGTGTGCTCTATTCAGCCACGACTCCAGCCCTTCAGGAATCGGCGGGTTCACCGAATCAAAGTGCCACGATCCCATAGTGCGAGGACCCCGGTTAAGGTATATGTCGGAGAAGCCCGTTTCGCTTCCAACGGTGCATGGAGACACGGGGTTGGTTGTGGGCGATTCAAGGAATTTACTCATGAGCGTCTGGCCGCACGGAGTGCCCATCCCAACTCCATGGCCTGTCATTGGCAGGACGAATGAGTAGCTGTTGCTGAGCGTCTCGGCGGCGACGGCGGCCCATCTGGGCGGTGTTGCAGGGTCGAATTGACCGGAAAGCAACAGGGTCGGGATGTCGCTCACCACGGGCTCGTCCTCAATCGGGTCTACAGGAATCCGTTGCCATTTGTCACATAAGTCGGGCGCCAGGAGCGGGAATTGGGGGTTAGTGAACCTCGAGTGCGCCCCACGATCCGACGCGAGAATATCGCGGTCCATGGACGGTCCAAAGGAGTAGCAGGACATCGACGCCCAGGCCGCAGAATTGTCTATCGGCTCATTGGTGATGTTGTATATGGGACGGGCCCAACCATCGGCAAACCGCGACATCTCCATCTGCGATCTCGTTGATCAAGGAATGGGACGTACGGGATCCAACGTGCGCTTCTCAGAGACGAAACTACGCGCCCGGCGACGAAGTTGCCATCGAACTTCTCCTCAAATGTGTCTTCAGCGTATCGATCGTAGTACCTGAGAATGAAGGGGTCATCGGTGTAACGGTCGACTGCCCGCCAGAAGGTCTTCTCCAGATCGGGGTAGCGCTTGGAGCATTCAGGATCGACCTCGCATTGCCGGAACAGCTCACAAGCGTGGCCGCCCGATTGGCATAGAGCGAATGATAGTGATTCACTTGGAGCGGTAGTACGCCGTCGAGGACCACACTTCGTATGCTGGCCGGATAGTCTCTCATTACCGTGAGGGCCAAGAGCGTGCCGTACGAGGCTCCATAGAGGTTGAACGACTCGTAGCCCATGGCGGAAGCGATGTCCACCACGTCGGCGGCGGTCGAAGCGGAGTTGTACGTGTCCAGGTCGATCCCCTGCGCGTTGAGCGTCTTCCTGCAGTCTATGAGCGCCTGGACCTTCCAGCGGAGCTTGTCTTCCGGGCTGAGATCGAGGTGTCGAATTTCGGCGTAGCCGTGCCGGTATTCGGAACATTCCAGCCTGGGCTTGGAGCCGCCGATGCCCCGCTGATCGAACAGGATGAGATCACGTTCGGTCCACAGAAACCGCGCGTCGTCGATGAACCGCTGGGTTCTCCTCGTTGCACTTCCGCCGGGACCGCCTGCGAGGTAGATAATCGGATCGCGGTTCAGAAAACCGCGTATGCCTTGAATTCGGACAACGTAGAGTTCAATCGTGTTGCCGCTGAGGGTGGCGCGATCTTCGAGGACGGTAACGAACCCGCAGGACAGGTGACATCGCCCGGGACGCTGAGGTTATACGGGCAGGCGCTGTATTCAAAGACGGGCTCGAAGGGCGGCGCCTCAGTTGGAGGCGGATCTTGACCGAAGGCATGGCCAGTCGCGAAAAGGACGCCGGCAAGCGCAAGGACAACCCCTGCGACTAGATGCAGTTTTCTCGGGCGGTGTCGGTCCACTGCCACAGACAGGCCCCCTGGGCATCGCATTGTTCACTGCTTCTATTCTCAGTCGTTCGCTGAGAACACGGCATTCATTTGCCGCGGTCGTTTGGAGCTTCGGGGAGGAACCATCGGCGGAACAGGTATAGCAAAAAGACGAGGATCACTCCAAGCGCCCCTATGGAGACGTCCCCGGCGAAGACGCCGAATACGAACATACCAATAGAGAGTATGAACAGTCCCACGAATACCCAATAGAGTGTCACGCACGGCCTCCAATTCCGGGCTCGGTTCAGGGTGAATCATACACGTTCGAGAGAGAATTGGACTTCGCTAGGGTAGAAAGCGGTCGCATAATGACATAGGGTAGTGTCGGAAACACCTTGAGCATGGAGATGAGATGAGCAGTATCGCCCGGATCCAAGCCACCGTCGACCGTCTGAATGAAGAGAGCAATGGGAGTATCCAAAGATATGGGTTCGAGTTTGACGAGGCCCGCATAGAGTCCTTCCTGCGACACCGGTCGGTCGATGAGACGATCGCGGACCTGACGCGACTGGCTGAGTGGCAGATCGGAGTAAACCAGCAGAATCACGACGGCGTATCGTTGACGCCGGTGCTGATGGACTTCCTCGCGGAACCGGGGAACATCGAGGAGAAGCTGGCCGAGCTTGACCGTCTTCAGAAGAACACCCGAATGGGGCACTTCGATCCATGCAACGAGATCGAGCGTGATTTGGAGTTCCACCGGTACAACTGGGCCTACCATGATGTCATTGAGCCCGACTTCGACCCCTCTGCGGGCGGCGCCATATGAACAGTTCCTGAAGCAGCCGGTGCTCGACCCGCAGACGCATGAGGAGCTCATTCTCGACGGGCAGAACTTGATCGAGGCCCGACGGGTGGCATACGAGCTTATACGCTGCTGGGGTTCCTGAGGAAGTTCAGGGCGGGCACGTCGCGACCGATCATCATTATCGGCAACGACCGGTACGGGCGTCAGTGGGGGGTCGAGCCGCTGGAGGACTTCCTGAACGACGATTTCAGCATCGTCTATCCCCGCGTGCCGTCCCACAGGTCGACTCGCCTTACCGTTCCGCACATGATCCTGAACACCGGTGCCCGCGCCGGGCTTGACCGAGGGTCGATTCGATACCTCAGCACCCACATGCCGCACGTCATTGTCGTCGACGCGCGGAACGTGGGACACGGCAAGCACCGGCTGATGATGCGGATGTCGCGTGGGGCCCGGGACCACGCCAACTGGTTCATAGCATTCAACGACCTACGGGCGGAAGGAGACGTCTCGAAATACGAGCACAAGATGCCTTATGCTCCCAACCACTACCCGGAACTCAAGAAGTGGTTCGGCTTTGTGGAGGTGCAGCGAAAGATACGCCCATGGGTTGAACCGGGGGAAACGTACTCGATGACGATGTGGGGCCGGAGATCACGGACGAGACGGTGCTTGGCGATTTCAAGGTAAGAACGCGTAAGGTCGAGTACAGTTCGGACGAACCGCAGGTGGTGCTCGCGAACCCACTCTTCTACCGCACGGATGAGGACGACCCCGACATTCACGAGAACCTGCGGGGGAACCGTCCGTACTACTTCGACGGGCCGGAACGTCACGTTCGTCACGAGGTCCGGTTCGGATTCGGGGATTTCGGTGTGGAATCGAGAGTGACCGGGAACACGTCGGATGAACTCGTGGAGGCCGTTCAGGAGTTCATGCGGCAGGAGGTGGCGCGGCTGCTCTCGGAGGAAAGCGGTGACGGCGACTAGAACGGGGGAAATCGCTCTCCTCTCCGTATACGTTATAATGGAACCTGCGAGAAGACAGCGTCGTCCGGGAACGGTCCGCCAAGCACATCAATGAGTACAGGACACGCATCGGGCGTCAACTTTCGTGCGCTCGCATGGCAGGCGCTATCCCGAATTACGGAACGTATACCCCGTTGCAGCAGATGCGCAACTTAACGAATTCACGGCTCGTATCGAGACGTCTCCTAGACGAGTGGAAGCTCCTGTCGAGCGTGTTCATCGGCATACTGATCGCCGTGACGATCAGCGTAGGTTCGACAGTCTACCTCACGGCCCTTGAACAGCTGGCGTTTCGGGTCTCCCTGAACCAGATATCGGCGCCGCTACTCAATCTCACAATATTCGCAAAGCGCATTCCCCTCACTACCGAGGCGGTCGAAGAACTCAGGAACTCGTCACTTCGATAGCGACCGAGCACATCGAGGACCTATACGCAGGCCATGAGATGTACCTCAGGGGCACGTCCTCGATTGTGGGGACGGACGAGTTTCCTCTGCCCGCCATCGGCGACCAAGAGTCGATGCCGACGGTCTGGGACGGGTTCTTTCACACGCTCACCAACATCGAGCATCATTCGGTCTTTCTGGAGGGGCGGGCCCCGAATACAGCTGCCATAGAAACGGCCGAGGGCATTACGGTCGAGGCGACAATTCGGAGCAGGTGGCCGAGGAGTCGAAGCTGGGCCCCGGAGACTCGGTAATCGTGGCCACCGATGTTTTTGTGCCGACGAGGATTACCGTGAGAATCGTCGGCGTGTTCCAGGCGGACAACCTCAAGGACGAGTACTGGAGCACGGCGGCCATCGTACTCACGTCGCAATCGGCGCCGGCGCAGGGGCGGGGAAGAATCGGGATTCCCTTCGCCCGACGGCACAGTGTGGGACGACAACCAGGACCTGGCCATCGGGCTGTTTGTTCCGATCGAGGTGATGACAGAGGTCATCGGGCCGGCAAACGAGCGGACTTTGGCCAACCCCATCGTCTTCGGGAAGATCGACAAGAACAAGCTGGGCACGTGGACGGCGGCGAGGTTCGTCCAACGCCTGGGCCAGACTGAAGATGAGATCATCGACACGATTCCCGGCGCTAGCGTGAGCTCGGGAACGGTGCGCGGCTTGATCGCGAATGTAGGCCGGCGGGTGTTCTTTTCGAGGATACCGCTGCTGTTCCTGCTAACGATTATGGTCGTTACCGTGCTGTTCTACATGACGATGATGGTCTCGTATCTGGCCAAGAGCCGGGAGCGGGACTCCGCGTTGATGCGGACCCCGAGGTGTGGGCATCGCCGAGCTGCTTAGGCTCTACACGCTTGAGGGTGTCGTCATGTGCTTATTGGCTCTTGCCTTAGGACCGCCAATAGCATTGGGGACGGTTGCCGCCATAGGACTTGTGCCGCCGTTCCGCTCGACGACGGGCGGCGAACTACTGCTGGTACGGGCGGAGCCATTTGCCTTTGCCATAGGCGCAGCCATAGCACTGCTGTGTCTATTCCTGTACGTGGCGTTCGGGGCGGCCGGCGCTCGGAGCGGTCTGCTCGTACAGAAGGCGCGGTCCGCACGCCCGGCGACGATGTCGTTCTTTCATCCGCTACTACCTCGACGTGGGGCTGGTGGTCATCGGCGGCCTCGTGTTTTGGGAGCTTCAGAGCAGGGAGCAGATCGTATCCAGTGGACTCTTCACCGAGCTTCAGGTGAATGAGACGCTGCTGTTCGGCCCGATCCTGTTCCTCATCGTTGTGGCCCTGTTCTTCATGCGCCTGTTTCCGTTATTCGTCCGCTACATCGGCGGGGAGTCGCCGGGTCTCGTTCATCTGCTGACCGGCCTTTCGGTAGCCGGGCTCGCAGGAGGCACGCTGTTTTCCGGTTACCAGGACGGCACACTCTCGGAGGCGTATCTGCCTGCGGCCATTGTGTTGGCCGGAGGAGCGGCCTATTACGTGACGTATCGGTTCATAAGGGGAAGGTGGAAGTGGGTCGGCGTGGGGGCGCAGGCGGCGGCGGTCGCGGCGTACGTGTTTACCGGGGACATTCACCCGTCCAATACGCTATTCAACGCTGAAATCGGTCTATTGGCTATCGTCCCGGCCCAAATTCTGTACCAACTGCTAGCCCTCGTTACCCGATCCGCGCCGGCTTGGCTTTCGATCAGCCTGTGGCACATGGCACGGAATCCCCTTCAGTACACGTGGCTGGTGCTTCTGCTCGTGCTGGTAACCGGCCTGGGCATCTTCGCAACGACCGTGGGGGGCACATTGACCCGCAGCCAAGACGAGCAGATCCAGTACGATACTCCAACCGACATGCGCATTCAGGGCACGCCCCTGTTTCTCAGCGAGGGCCTGCATGGAATGCGTGAAGCGTTTGTCGGCACGCCGGCGATCGACAGCGGAGCGCTCGGATACCGGACGAGCGCTTATATTGGGAATATCAGTATGCAGCTATTGGCGCTGGAACCTGAGGCGTTCGCCGACATCGCATGGTTTCGGGACGACTTCGCGAACACCGGCTTGGAGCAAATCATGGGCATGATCGCCGTTGCCGATGGGCATAACGGGATCACGATGCCGGCCGATTCCCAGAGCATCGGCCTGTGGATCAAGCCGCTAGAGTCCCAGCCGCTGATGTCCGTTTGGGTGGTTGTCCAGGACAGTGCAGGCATCGTAAGAACCGTGTCGCTGGGCGAAGTCGGAGAGCTGGGATGGCACAGGGCAAGCAACGATCTGCCGGCAGACCTCACAGGGCCATTCGACCTTATGGCCGTATCACTGTACGAGCCGGGAACGACAACGCAGACTTCAGGCGGAGGGACGCCAGGAACGGTGCTGTTTGACGACGTGTACGTGGAGCTCTCGGACGGATCGAAGCGGGTCTTGGAAGGGTTTGAAGGCGAGAATGTTTGGTCGCCCATTCCTACGAGTTTCTTCAACTCGGACGTTCTCTACACCTCGCCGGACGACCCGTTCACCGGAGCGCGGTCGGGCGTGTTTACGTTTGGGACGGACAGGAACCGGTCGGTCCGCGGGATATACGACGCGTCGGCCGGAGGCGTCATACCGGTCGTCATAAGCCGTGGAGTTGCCGAGGCCACGGGACTGCGTCCCGGCGTGTCCCAGATCGTGAGCGTATCGGGCTGGCTGGTGCCCGTCGAGATCACAGGGGTCATCGAACTTTTCCCGACACTCAATACGGCGAACTCCGGATTCATGCTGGCCGATCTCGACGCGCTGCTGACATACATGAACATGATGAGCCAGCTATCGACCGTGGAGGCGAACGAACTGTACCTTCAGAAGACGGGAGACTCACCCGATATCGTCGAGGAGATCACCGAAGAGATGGTGTCGATCCTCTTGAAGGTCAACGACACCACGGCGCAACGGAGGAAATCCGTCGGGACCCGCTTCAAAACGCCGGATGGCGGGCCCTGGTCTTCATGGCCCTAGCGGTGGTGCTGCTGGCCGCGATCTTTGGGTATGTGGCGTATATGCTCTTGGTAGGCGAAAGCAGCGAGCACGAGCTGGGGTTCCTCCAGTCGCTGGGGCTCTCGAAGATTCAACTTCTGGGCCTGCTCAGCTGCGAGCACCTGACCGTCGTGGCCCTGGGGCTGGGCGTCGGCACCTGGGCGGGGTTCCAGATGAGCCGTCTGATGGTCGCGCCTCTGGCCGTATCGGACATCGGGCAATCGATAGTCCCGCCGTTCATCCTGGTCACCGACTGGTCGTTGATGCTCCCGACGTACGCGATGATTCTCGCTATTTTCCATCACGGTCATGTTCGTCCTCTTCCGATCGATTGGAAGAACGAAACTGTTTGAGTTGGTGCGCAGCGAAGAGGCCTAGCCTTCGGGCAGTCGGGAAGTTGTAGATAACCTAAGAGGTCGCTCAACGTAATAATAGGCAGTTGCCTTTTCTCGCCGGGGGGATTTGGGCTACAATTCGATCCGACGGCGCGGGAGTCAGAGGAACCCGAAACTAAGGAAGGTGGAATGGTCTCAGCCGTACAGCGGTTCATCTCCGCTTGGCAGTTCGTCATGAAGCGAAGCCTAGCTCACTGGAAACTGCTGTTTTCAGTCGTCTTGGGCGTTCTGCTGGCGTCGTCGATCATGTCGGGAACGGTGATCTACTTCGACGCTCTGCGGGAGATCGCGCTTCGCAGCGCCCTCTCACAGTACTCCGAAGCCGAGATGCATATCATCATGCAAGGGCAGCGGGGCCCGGTCAACCGTGAAGAGGCCCTGCGTGTTTCGCGTGTCGTTGATGAAGCCGTCGCGCAGAGGCTGGACTGGCTCATTGACGGCAGGATCCACGCGGCAAAGACCCCAACGATGTTCCTGACGGCTACGGGACAGGAAGCGGTCGCCGGAGACGACAACGCGCGCGCTTACTTCGCCTACATCCCTGATATCGAAGAGCAGATTATCATCCGCGGGGGAACTTTCCCGAGCGTGAATCCTGTTAACGCGCCGGGGAGACCGTTCGCTATCGAGGCAATGATCCCGGTTGAGGCGGCGGAGTTGTTCGGCATACGTATCGGCGACCGGGTGTCGGCCGTTCTGCCGTGGTCGGACGACCTCGCCCACGTGGAAGTCGTTATCAGCGGCATCTTCCAGCGGGAAAGGCCCGAGGCGGAAGTCTGGCAGCTCGAAGAGGCGGTGCTGGGGGCGGCTACCGGCGCCAGCTTCAGGACGATGCCGTTCCACATTTCGCAGGAAGCGTTCCTCGAGACGCTGGGACCGCGCCTGCGGAGGATGGAGGCGACCTACGCCTGGCTCCTGATGACCGATACGGACCGTGTCAACGCCAGGAACAGCACCGATACGCTCAGGGACATCCGAGGAACGAACTCGATACTGAGTTCGACGCTGTCGAGCTTCCGGCAGACTACCACGCTGGACAATGCTCTCGATGAGTACGACCGCCGACTGTTCTTCAGCAAGCTGCCGATGTTCGTCGTGCTGGTACTTATCGCAATCGTGATCCTGTACTACGTCGCGACGCTGTCGTCTCTGGTCGTCGAAGACCGGCGGAGCGAGGTGGCGCTGCTGCGGAGCCGTGGGGCCACCTCGACGCAGATCCTCATGGTGTTCGTCATGGAGGGGCTGACGATAGCGGCCTTGTCGGTCGTCGTCGGGCCTCTTCTCGCGGCCGCGTCGGTGAGCGTGCTGGGCCTGACGCCGGCGTTTTCGGACTTGGGGGCGGGCGGGATTTTGACCGTGAGCCTGTCCAGCGGGGCGTATATGATGGCGGCTCTGGGCGGCGTGCTGAGCTTCGTTGCCCTCATCTTCCCGGCATTCCGCGCCTCCCAGATGAACGTGACCCAGGAGCGCCAACGAGCTTCCAGGCCGACGGACCTCCCATTCTTTCAAAGGTACTACCTCGACGTTCTGCTGCTGATCGTCGGCATCCTTCTGTTCAGGCAGCTGAGCCAACAAGGCTCGGTCGTGGCGAGGAACCTGTTCGGTGAAATTGCGGTAAACCAGATGCTGCTGGCGGTGCCGGGCATCATATTGGTCGCGTCGGCAATGGTTCTGCTGCGCCTGTTTCCCGTGGTCATGAACGTGCTTAGTCGCTTGCTTTCCTCGTGGCTGCCTGCCGGAATGGTGATGGGCGTCTGGCAGATGGCGCGCAACCCCGCTCACTACGCGCGGCTTTCCCTACTGCTGATTCTAACGGCCGGACTGGGGATATTCGCGGCCAGCTTCAGCGCGACGCTCGACCGCAGCTTCATCGAGAGGGTGCTGTTCTTTACGGGGAGCGACGTGCGACTCAACGGAAACGTTCCCGTCTCATCTTTTCGCCGTGATCTGTCTCCTGACGATCAGTTTAAGTCCACAGGCATCCTGCGGGAGCGATATGAGCAGATGCCGGGAATAGACAACGTCAGCCCCGTTCGAAGAAGCTCAGGACACGACCTGTCCAAGCTCTTCGGCGGCACCTACGACATGCTGGCAGTGGAACCGGAAAGCTTTCTCAACGTCGCGTGGTTCCGCGAGGACTTCGCGGGGCGACCCATGAGCGAGCTGTTTTCGTCGCTGGCCCTCGAGGGGGGCCCGGAGGGCATTCCCATACCGGCAGGTTCGACGCATCTAGGCTTGAGGGTAAAGCCCGATCGAATTCACCCGTCGATTCTCATGACGGCACGGGTGCTGGACGCTCGTGGCAGGTACTACACCTACCGACTGGCCCCCTTGAACTTCGCCAATTGGGAAGTGCTGAGCGTTGATCTTACCGCCATTGGCGGAAGAGGACAGCCATCCACCGCGCCCACGGAGCCGCTAACCCTGGCCTCGATTTCGATTCAAGAGCGCAGAGGAGACCGGCGACTCCAGCCGGGCTCGGTTCTAATCGACGAAATCAGGGTAACGAACGAGGGTGGCACGACAACCGTCGTCGAGTCTTTCGCATCCGTGGAAGACTGGAGCCTGCTGCGAACCAGCGAGACGGCGATCGCGGACGTGCTGCGTCCGTCAGACGTGGGATTCGAGGACGAGTCGGGTTCCGCGCTCTTCTCGTGGGCCGAGGGCTCAGCGGTGTCGGCGCGAGGCATTTTTCACGGCGAGTTGACGTCGCTGCCGGTGCTCGCCAGCAAGGGGTTCAACAAGAACACCGGACACAAGGTGGGTGATGAGTTCGACGTGTCGGTATCAGGGCATCGGGTCCCGATACGGATCATCGACGAGGTAGAGTTCTTCCCTACAATGAACCTGAGAGAGAAGAGCTTCCTCGTTTCCGACATGAACTCGCTCGTGAAGTACGCCAGCATGGGCTCGCTATCCGGCGAGGTGCTGCCGAACGAGTTGTGGATATCGTCGGCTTCCACTGGGACAGAGCGTGAAGCCCTGATCGAGCGGTTGAACCTCAGCGGGGGATTCTTGATCGACTCGTTCCAGGACAGGGACTCCCTCCTGGCAGAATCGAAGGTAGACCCGCTCGTGAAGGCCGGATGGCGGTCGCTGCTGTTCATCGCGTTCTCGTCGGTGCTGGTATTGAGCTGTTTAGGATTCCTCGTACACGCCTACATCTCGTACAGGAACCGCCAGCTCCAGTTCGCCTTGCTGAGGACCGTGGGGTTCTCGATGCGGCAGCTCGTCACGATGGTCTGGCTGGAGCAGATGCTGGTTATCCTCGTGGGACTCGCACTCGGAACGTGGATGGGCAGCAGACTGGGCGCGGTGATAATGCCGTTCCTCGGGCACGACGACTTCGGCTCTCAGGTCATGCCGCCGTTCGCAATACAGATCAACTGGAACGTGTTGATCCTGACCTACGTGATTATGTTCCTCGTGTTCGCCGTGATAATCTTGGGGATGATATGGCTGGTGAACCGCATATCGCTTCAGCGCGTCTTGCGGTTGGGCGAAATTGGATAGAATAAGTCTGGGAGGGACGCCGTGAGACCGGAATCCTATATTGTCTGTGAAGACCTGTTCAAGATATACAAGATCGCGGACCTGGAGGTCGTGGCACTGCGGGGTCTTGACCTCGTCGTGTCGCGGGGGGAGGTCATTGCGGTCGTGGGGACCAGCGGCAGCGGAAAGACGACTCTGTTGAACATCTTGGCGGGGTACGACACGCCGTCGGCGGGGAAGGTCCGTGTCGGAGACCGCGACCTGCTTCGCATGGGCGGTCGCGAGGTGGAGGACTACCGTCGCCACGAGGTCGGGTTCGTCTGGCAGCAGACGAGCCGCAACCTGTTCCCCTATTTGAGCGCCGTCGAGAACGTCGCCCTGCCGATGATGCTGACAAACATCTCGCCGAAGGAGCGGCAGGAACGGTCGGTTGACCTGCTCAATCTCATGGGCCTCGGCCACCGATTGGACCATACGCCGGAGCGGCTGTCGGGCGGTGAGCAGCAGAGGGTCGCCATAGCGGTCGCATTGGCCAACCACCCGCCCCTTCTCCTCGCGGACGAGCCGACGGGAGAGCTCGACGACGCGACGGCAAGCGAGATACTCGACCTGTTCGGTTCGGTCAACACCGAGCTTGGGACGACAATCGTGGTCGTTACTCACGACAGGGACATCGCCTACAAGGTCGGGCGAGTGGTGTTGATTCGCGACGGCAAGACCTCGACCGAGATCCGCCGCGCACACACGTACGAGCGTCAGATTACGGGTCAAGTGGATGTCGACACGCCGCTTGAAGAGTACACCCTCGTCGACGGGGCCGGGCGAGTCCAGTTGCCCCGCGAGTATCTCGACGAGGTCAAGATCCGTGATCGGGCGCGGGTGACGGTGGAGGACGGCAAGGTTACCATCGTCTCCGGAGAGGAATGAAATGAGCAGTTCCCAGGTCATCATCGACATGAAAATCTTACCCGTGTGTACGACGTGGGCGCGGAGCAGGTCACGGCTGTGAAGGACGTGACCATGCAGATCCCGCCAGGACAGTTCATCGCGCTCGTCGGTAGATCGGGTTCCGGCAAGACCACGCTGCTGAACCTCATGGCGGGCCTCGACAAGCCGACGTCGGGTACGATCCTCTTCGAGGGCGAGGACCTCACCGAGATGGGGGAAAAGGAGCTTACGAATATCCGCCGTCACAAGGTGGGGTTCGTCTTTCAGGCGTTCGGTCTGCTGCCGCTTCTTTCGGCGTTCGAGAACGTCGAGCTTCCGTTGAGGATCTCGGGATACGGCGTGCGCGAGCGCGAGGAACGGACGAGAGAAGCGCTGGGGATTGTCGGGCTGCTCCCGCGCGCAAATCACCGACCGTACGAGCTATCGGGCGGCGAGCAGCAGAGAGTCGCCATCGCTCGCGCCATCGTTACGAGGCCGCCACTCATCCTGGCTGATGAGCCGACGGGCGAGCTCGACTCGACGAACGCTCAGTCGATCTTCGGACTCTTCCGCGAAATGGTGGAGACGCACGGCATCACCGTGGTCGCCGCGACGCACGACTCGACCCTGCTCGCAATGGCCGACCAGGTGAACGAGATGCGAGACGGCAGCATCGTGGGACACCTCGTAGGCGACGACCTTCAGAGCCGGCTGGAGGACATTCAGGCGAGTCGATATCGCGATAGGCCATCTGTCGACGTTGACGAGGGCGGCGACGAATCCGAAGACTCCGATGACGCATCGACGGACCAGCCCGAACCGTCCGGACCTCAAGAGTCAGATGAAGCTGCCGACGACACAGCCGAGACCACTGGACAGGACGACGACTACATCAGCCGCTTCCGCCGGCCGACCGACAGTAGCCTACAAGATGCGTCTCAGCTGACCGCCCGCGTTCCGTAGTTGCCACGGCTGATACTTTGGCCGCTCTTGATGGTTGGCGGGGTCGCAGTACAGGAGATCAGGCACGCTGTAATCGAGCACCAATTCGCCATCGACCTGCCTATACAAAATATTCTTGAGCCAGTTGACGTTGTCGGTCTCGGGATAATCGTCTCGGAAGAACGCTCCCCTGCTCTCTTTGCGCTCCAAGGAGCCGATGAAGAGCAGCTCCGCGGAGAGGAGCAGGTTTCGCACTTCTAGCGCTCGCGCCCAATCGTAGCCGTTCCGCGCCCTTAGCTTGACGGTCTCGGCCCGAATCTGTCGGATGCGCGACAGGCCGTTCGTCAGCCCCTCCTCGTCCTTGATAACCCATGCGTAGCGTCGAGTCGCGGCCTTGATCTTGCGCTTGATGTCGCTGGGCTTGACGGTCGCGGCGTTGTCGATGGTATCAGCCGCGGCGGCGATGCTTGCCTGAACTTGGGTGGAATCGGCTGAAACGGCTCCTGTGGCTCCGGCGGCTTCGGCTGCGTACCGCCCTGCCCGCTTGCCGAAGACGACGGTGATCATCGAGGTGTAGCCTTCGGGTCTCGCGTGTCCGTAAACCCCGCCGGCCACCGCGCCGGTCGCGTAGAGGCCGGGCACCGTCGTCTCGCACTTCTCGTTGATGGAGACGCCGCCGATGGTGGTGTGGGCCCGCGGCTCCGAACCGATCGGCTCGACCCGAAGGTCGATGCCCCGCTTTTCGGTCTGCTCTCGCACCAAGTCCATAAACCACCAAGGCATATTCTTTTTCTCAAATACGGCGCTCATGTCGAGCATCACCTTGTCGCCCTTGAATCCCCGCCCCTCTTTGATCTCATTTCCAGACGGCGTAGGTGAGCGGCTCCTTGGCGAAGTTCCGGGGATCGTCGATGCCGTACTTTGGCAAGAACTCCTCGTTGTTGGAGTTGAGGAACTTCGTGCCGGGTGGGAAGCCGACCGAAGTGGCAACGAACTGCGAGGCCTCCATCCCCGTGAGGTCGGCCCCGGCCCGGTACGCTGCCGCCTGGCCGTCGCCCGTCTCGAACGGGGAGACGGTCGTAGGTCCAAAGATGTGGCTGTAGGTGCCTGTCGCGAGGATCGTTGCCTTGGCCTCGACGACGAGAATGTCGGAGCGGCGGCAGTCGAGCACGGTCGCGCCGACGACCCGTCCGTCGTTCGTCAACAGGTCGATGAGCACGGCGTCGTCCATGACGGTGACGCCGCGGCTCTCGGCCTGGTCCATCAGGGCGTCCATCATGGCGATGCCGGGCGGGGAGCCGTAGGTGTGCTCCCGGTGGCCGGCGGCGGGTTTGAACGTGAAGTTCCTCACGTGGGTGTGCGCGGCGGAGCGGTAGAGGGCGATGCTTCCGTCGTCTTCACGCTGGAAATCGACGCCCCAGTCGACAAGCTCCTGGACCCGCTCCATGGTCTCATCCACGAGTATCTTGGCGAGCTTCTGATCGGCGAGGAACCCTCCGAAGGAGACCAGGTCGCACATCGACGACATGTTCGTGTCGCCGTTTTGACCATTGAGGCCGACAACGGCGCTCGTGCCGACGTTCAGCGTACAGCCGCTGTTGCCGAACTTGCCCTTCACGATCATGGTCCACACTTGCGCCGAGGTCGCGCGCCTCGATGGCGGCTCGCAAGCCCGCGCCGCCACCGCCAATGATGAGAACGTCCGTCGAATGGTCTCGTACATCTGAAGTCCGCTCCTCTGCCTGCGAAGATATTTGGGCAGCTATGCTACATCACAATCGTCAAACGTGGTAGACGTGGATGTCGTTCGACGTGGACAGCCATGACTTGCCAAGATGGAGGGTCCGCGTAGGCTTCCATGTCGGAACGACGAATGTGTTGGAGAGTACAAGGGGTCCCAGGAGCGCAACTCTCGTCTCGAATTTCGGGCCCAGCTTCCGCATCGCGGCGGGATGAAGGTAGACGACCACCACGTCCACATCGCTCAGGTCGGCGTCGAAGACGCTCAGTGTGGAGTTTGAGATTGGCGTCGGACGAAGACGCCTTTGAGCCGTGAGTAGAGCCACGGGATAGGCGAAAGCTCATAGCCGGTCACCTCGGCGTCGGGGAATCGCTTGGCAATTGGGTAGGCCAGCGAACCCCACCCGGATCCCAGGTCGACGATCTTGCCGTTGGCCTTGTCGGGAATCAGGGCGATGAACGTCGCTATGGCCTTCCGGGAGCTCGGCATCGGGGGTGATTCCGAAAGCATGCTGATCCCGTCCATAAGTACACGACCGACGCGATGAGCGAGAAGGAGCACTGGCCGTTGAGCACGATACAGCAGGTAGGGGAGCAGCCAGTGGGATCATGCATCAGACGGTGCTCATAACGCAAACGCCAGCAGTCAGCACGCTGGCGGGGAATGACGTAGAAGGAACGTCGGCTCCTACGCGCGGCTACGTATATCCTAGGTGACGAACAGTGTCACGAGCCGGAATGCGATTAGCGCTTGGACGGTTTCGGAGACCCTGTGCTACAATCCGCGCGGCTGATGAACCAAAGTGTAAAGGAGAGACGTGCATGAGGCTGGTACTGTTCAACGACTTCACTCCGGGCGTTCTGAGGGGCGACAACGTGGTGGACGTGTCGGGCGTGATTGAGGATATACCGCATATCGACGCCCAGACGTGGATGCGTGGGCTGATCGACTGCTTTGACGACTACAGGGGCAAGCTCGAAGACGCGGCGGCCAATTCGGAAGGCGTTCCGATCTCGGACGTCCGTCTGCGCGCGCCCCTGCCGGAGCCGACGCGCATCGCCTGCATGGCGGGCAACTATCTCGAGAACGGCAAGCTGCCGTTCCCGACGACCGGGAGGCGTTCCTGAAGTCGCCGAGCGCGGTCATAGGCGACGGGGACACGGTAGAGCTTCCCGACGCGCCGGTGCCTCATTTCCACCATGAAGCTGAGCTTGGTCTCGTGATCGGCAAGACGTCGACGGACGTGCCGGCGGAGAAGGCAGCCGGTCACATATTCGGCTATCTGAATTTCATGGACGTGTCTGCGCGGGGCGTGAACCCCAACGGCGGCAGCAGCTTCTTTGGGGAAGTCCTGGGACACCTTCTGCCCCCTCGGTCCGGTGATCGTCACTGCAGACGAGGTTGAGGACGCTCAGAACCTGGACATCAAGCTGTGGGTCAACGGTGAGGTGCGACAGGACCACAACACGAGCGACATGGGCCGGACCGTCGAGGAGACGGTCGAGTTCATAACGTGGATCACCACGATGAAGGCCGGAGACGTGATCGCGACGGGCACGAACCACATCGGTCTCGGTCCCATCCAGCACGGCGACGTGATAACCGAGGAGATCGGCGACTTCGGGCTGCTGACGGTGACGTCACAGACCCGTGGAAGCGGACGTGGCCTCGCCTGCCCTGAATAAGATGTCCGCCTTCGAGTCTTCGATCCGCTCAAAGAGCCAGGCGGTCGACTAGGGAACGGCCGTCGTTTCGGCGACGGCCCGCTAATCGAAGTACAGAGTGCTGCGGGCGACCTCGCCCTTGCCGAGGGCCTCGAACGCATCGTTGATCCGTTCGACGGGTACGTCCGCGAGACAGTTCATCGAGCATCAGTTCCCCCGACTTGTAGAGATTGAGCAGTCGGGGAATGTGACCATCGGCTGGCCGCTTCCGTAGAGCGACCCCATGACGGTCTTTTCCATCATCAGGTCGCGCGCGTCGATGGTCAGGGATGTGCCGTGCGGGGCGTGTCCGACCCAGATCGACATGCCCCGGTTGCGGGTACAGTGGATGCTCTGGAGGAAGGGCTTCTCCACGAGGCCGATGGCCTCGAAGGCGTAGTGAACGCCGTACCCGTCCGTCAGCGACTTGATGGCCTCCACGGCGTCTTCCTCACCCGCGTTCACCGTATGGGTGGCGCCGAACTCCCTGGCCATATCGAGCTTGTTGTCGAGAAGGTCGACGGCGATGATCGTCGTCGCTCCCGCGATGCGGCACCCTTGTATGACGTTAGGCCGACTCCCCCGGCCCCGAAGACGGCGGCGGTCGTTCCCGGCTCGACCTGCGCGGTATTGATCGCCGCGCCCACGCCGGTGGTCACGCCGCAGCCGATGAGGGATGCCTGAGGAAACGGGAATGTCCTTGTCGATGGGGATGGCGGCCACCTCACTCACGATCTGATAGCTCCCAAAGCTGCCCACTCCCACCATCTGGTTGATCTCCCGGCCCGATTGACGAAGGGTCGGTTTCTGCTTTGGGTACTGGTTGTCGTAGACAGAGCGCAGGGCCACCCGAGCTGGCACATCTCGCAGAGTCCGCACTGCGAACGCCAGGCAAGGATGACGTGGTCTCCACGCTCGACATTGTTCACGCCGGGACCTGTGGCCTCGACGATGCCCGCTCCTTCATGGCCGAGGATAATCGGCAGGGGCAAGTGCGTCCACTCGCCCTTCACGACGTGCCAGTCGGAGTGGCAAACACCGCTGGCCATCATCTTTACCATGACCTGGCCGGGGCCCGGCTCGCCAATGTCCAACTCCTCGATCACGAGGGGGGTCTGGGCTTCGTAGAGCACGGCGGCTTTCATGGCGGTCCTCCTGTCGGATGTATTGGGTGAGAAGGGTACGGCGAAGAGGAAGGAGGGTCAAGCGCCGTCCCCAAGCAGGACGTAATACTAGCTAGGCGTATGGTATCCTGTCGGCGCGGCAGGCTGCCCTTAAATCGCCTTCCGCAAGGAGCACGTTATGACCAACGAACGGAAGTATCGAGTCGGGCTGATCGGAACGGGACGCAAGGGGAACGGACACGCTCGCGGGTACGAGGCCAATCCTCGCACCGATCTGTGGCGGCGGCGGACCCCGATCCGTCGAACCTCGCGATTTTCCTGGAGCGGTTCACCGTCAAGCCCTACGACGACTATCACGAGATGTTGCGCGTGGAAAACATCGACATAGCAGCGCCGATTCTGCCCGTCAAGCCCAACCCCGGCGTCGTCATCGACTGCGCCCGGGCGGGCGTCGAAAGCGATCTACTGCGAGAAGCCGATGGCCGCCAGTCTCGATGAGGCCGACCGGATGGTGGAGGAGACGGCGTCGCGCGGGATTGCGTTGGCGTCGGGGGACGCCTATCGCAACATGCCGCAGCACTGGAAGGTCAAGGCGCTCATCGACTCCGGTGAGCTTGGGCCGGTGCAGAGCATCAACCTGTACCAGCCGACCAACGAGATCTCCGGCGGACGGGTGCCAGGGACTGAGCGTCTTGACGCCTGTTCGCCGACGACTCGGACGTGGAGTGGGTGACGGGATGGTGCTCGGAGGACCCGTGGAGCGACGAAGACCAGAACATGGGAGGGTACGTGAAGTTCGCCAACGGCACCGACGCCTACGTTCACACGAAGCCCTCGCGAGGGACGGGATCGAGGTCGTCTGCGAGAAGGGCGTCTACCACACAAGTTGGTTCGGCGGGCACCTTTGGACCTCCACCCGGCGCGGTGAACTGGTCGAGGTCGAGGACTTCTTCGACGAGTTCGGCGGGACGGACTACGGATGGACGACGCCCAGCGGTCGGAGGCAGCGGGGGGGCATCCTGTCGATCGTCGAGGCCATCGACAACGGCACCGAGCCGAAATGCAGCGGCGACAACATGCGGAAGGTGCTCGAAATCGCAATCGGCTTCCGAGAGTCGCACCGCAACGGCTTCTCCGCTGTCCGCTTCCCCATCGAAGACAGGAGCCTCAAGATCGTCCCCAAGCAGGGACGCTGGCTCAACAAGAAGGAGGTCTACGGCGAGGAAGCCTACGCGGAGATGATCTCGTCGGCGTCCGCCAAGCCGGTGGCCGGGGCGGCTTTGGATTAGGACGGGTTTTTGAGGGGTTCTCTTGACGGTTTACGCCACGAACCGCGCATCACGCGGACGCTGCTTGCCGCCGTGCACCGACGGCTCGGCGCACCACTTTTGGGAAAGGCGGCGCACGGCCTGTACACTCCCTCATCGAAGCCCAAGAGGTCGCAGACCAACTACGGTCGAGCAGGTCGCGGTTGGGGTCGGCGTCCGCGAGGTAAGCAGGCTTGAGCTCCTTATCTCGAAACTCGTCGAAGATCACCTCGGCGGTGGCAAGCTGCTCGTCGGTGAGGGCGCGGAAGTCGAGAACGGGGAGGGATTCGGCGGAGCGGATGGTCATCCGGCCTTACTCGATTGCTGGCGGCTGGAGTGCCACCAGTACGACAGCAGGCCTAACGTGCTGTTGCCCCAAACCGCGAATACGTAATCGAATCTCTTATCGTCGAAAATCACGTTGGGCCATACCCTTCCTCCGACTGAATCCCTCTCGGTGAACGCAATTGCAAGTGCCTGTGAACCGAAAGTGAAATCGCGGTTCAGGTGCGAGCGGCTGCAGTTGCCCATGCGGTGGCGGCTTTGACTTCCATCCCCGGGCGAACTATCAGCTGGGAGTCCGGAAGGCAGACTATTCGAGTCTCCCGTTTGGCATTGTGATTCCAGAGGGAAGGGTAGGTTGCGGTTGGGCTGGGGGCCACTTTATCGAAAGGCCCACGAGGTAGCGGGCCGTTGATGTCTCGGTCGACCAAGCCAAGTGTGCCAACGATGCCCGCCTGGGTGACTTTCAGATCAGTAGCAGAAAGCATTCCGGGCAACCATAACCGAGAGTGAGACAGCGCATAGCCGACCTGCGCCACCGAGAAATCGGCCGAGCGCACTGCTCCCCAGGTCTCTCCGTTCGTGTTGTCCGGGGTCGTGAGCACCTCGCCTATGAGTTCGCCTCCGGTCGTCAGACGCGTGCCGCCGTATGGCCCGTCCTCTATCTGCCGAACATTGTCGCTATTGATGAGACTTTCGGCTGTCACGGCCGCGGCAGCGAGTCCTGGTGGGCGCCGCCGCAATGACGTTAACCGAACTCGCTTCCCCGACAACGACGGCGAATCGTCTTTCATCAACTTGCGGGCGATTACCAAGCACTCGGCTATCCCCGTATCCGACGAGAAGGACATGTCCCTTCCGCTGGCCGCAATACTCACTACGGATAGGCCTGTATACCCCTTTGCGACCATACGCCGGAAACCCTGCCACGACAGACCTGAGGCCGCGGACAAGGGCAAGACCAGCGCAAGCACGCCCCCCGGCTTGAGTTTGCGATGAGCGAGCGCCGCGAACGCAGAGGCAATACCGGCGTTCCCGTGATAGCAAGTTCCCCTACCCATTCTATTGAGACGCGTACCCATCGCCGTCTGGTCGGCAGGGGTAGCGCCGAATGCGGCAAACGCCGGGTTGGTGATGTCGGCATGAGCACCCTCGTGGTTCGTGGCACTTGTGAACGGGGGGTTCATAATCACAAGATCGAACCCCTCGTCGGGCATATCTGCAACTATTTGGGAGGCGGTCTCCTCCCCCGCGCTTCCTGTTCGCCGTGCGGGATCGGTAGTATTGAACAACGTTCTGACCGACGATGACTGGAGCAGTTCAAGCGACCCAATGGCAACGGTGCCGTCATCCTGTCTGCCGTATGTGAGGGGGTAAAGGCGTGACATCCGAATGGAACGCCAGGTTTTACACCGGAGAGGTGGAACTGGTGATGTGAACGGCGGACGGCATGACGTCGCAACCGTAGAGCACTTCCTCATCATGGATCGCATGAGCGCGGTCGGGTCGCCTCCCGCCCCGCTCGTGACGCGCGGCTATCTGCTCGTACACAGCTGAGAGGAGCGCACCCGTCCGCACGCGAAATCTGCGATCCGTAGCTTGTCTATGCCTCGGCGTCTGACCAGTCCACACCGTGCATCTGGCAACGGCGAGCCGCGCGAGCGAGCCGCGATGCAGGGCGGGTTGTAGAAGGTCGCAAGGTACTTTCGGTCCGCGATGAGACGCTGAAAGACCGCCCAGTGAGGTCGTGGGAGTGTGTCGATCCCGGCAGTATTACTTCCTCGACCGTGAGTTCCAGCGTCTGAAGGATGCGGGCCGCAGAAGTCGACGGAATCTGATTCAGGATGTCCCTGCCGACGGCGAATATGGGCCAGTAGTGACCTTGAGGATTTCTGACCACGCCGCCAGAGTCTCACTCTTGGGATTGGAAACGTCTCGACCGCAGACCAAGCTCAAGGGCTTAATGTCGTTGTCGGACATGCCGGCAATGCGCTCGTGGAAGACGAGGGGCGTTTGCGATAATGGCGCACGCCATGCGGCGCGTCTGTGGAACGTTCACCATCCCGAGCAGGCGAGCTATCTCCATCGTTACGCCGGACTGGGCCCTGTCCAGTTCATCCAGGATGGCGGCAACGCGCTCGATACCTCGTTCGAGAGCGTCCGCGGCGTCGTTGACGGCCTTCTGCGGCACCGACACCAGCCGGACCAGGTCGGCAAGGTGGCTGACCGAACCGCTCAGCCAGCCCGATTCGGGGAAACGACTCTCGGACTGTTCGGCGTAGAGGACGCAGTACGAAAGGCGGGCGTCGGATAGGACGACGTGCAAATCGTCCGATTCCGCCACGGAGTCGGGGTATCGTAGGGCGATGACGGCCTCGACCTTACGACGGCCTTCCACGACCTCCAAGCCAAGCCGCGACTTCGCCTCGGCTTCCACGTTCCGGGCAGGTTCGAACTCAGCTTCTATGATAATGGGAGCACGCCCGGACTCGGTGATGAGAATATCCGGCTGGAGGCCGGGCTGATCGACAATGGAGCGTACGCGCTCGGGGCGCACGTCTGCACCGCGCATCATCCGTTGGAGCAATGCGCCCAAGGCGCTATTGACACTGGGTTCGGTCTGTCGTGGCATCGGCGGGAATTGTAGCACGATTGTTCGTGGACGGCAACTACCGTAACTTCGTGTAGAATCCTTTTGAATCCCTTTAAACACAAAACAACGCAAATCGGAGGAGATGACACAAATGCCGTCGAACGGAAAGGGCAATATCGCGAACTGCTCTTGGGGTGACCATGTGGTATTCGGGGAGGGGGACGGGCTGCTCCACACGGTTGAATCGTTGGAGCGGCGCATGGACGCTTGGCGCGAGGAGCTTGGGGCGGATACCGTTCACTGGCGTCAGGGGCGCACGGGCCACGACGATGTCTATCAGGCCGCGCGCGGCTATGGCGGCAAGAAGCGACAGCTCTACCCGCCCATCACGTGGGACGATTTCGAGGTCGTTCCGAGATTGGCCCACGAGCGCGGGATGCGGGCGTACGCCTACGTCTCGCTAGTCGACCAGGGGCATCCGCTCGCGCCCAAGGCGGAGCGCGAGGTCAGTCACCACAACCCTTACCACGGCAAGAACTTTGCACGGATGAGCCGGCTTATCAAGGAACACCCCGAATATAATCTTCAGGACCGTGAGGGGAACAACCACTGGGGGGTCGTATGTCTCGCCTATCCGGAGGTGCGCGAGTACATGATCGAACGGTACCTGAGCGTGATTGAAGGATATGACTGGGACGGCGTGTTCGTGTGCCTGCGCACGCAGTCGCGTCCGGCAGACTATGCCGACCAGTACGGGTTCAATGAGCCGATCAGGGCGGAGTTTGAAGAACGCCACGGGCGGGACATTCTCCACCAAGAGTTTGATTTGCAGGCATGGCGCGATCTACAGGGCTCCTATCTCACGATTTTCTTCCGGGAACTGCGGGAGGCGCTTCGTCCAATGAACATGAGTCTTGCGGTTGGCTGCGCGAGGGGCGACGTCATCGGGCCGCCCATCGGGAACGCGACACTGGAATGGCGGCACTGGCTGAGCGAGGGGATCGTCGATGAGCTTGTCATCGACCAGAGCTCGACGCAATGCCCTTCGCTTTGGATACAGCTCTGGCCTATGCACAGGGGGCACGGCTATCTGCAGAACTACATCGACGACTGGAGGTTTTTGTCCCTAGAAGAGGATCTTTCGTATAACTACGCTCCCACTGTGGAGGACGCGGACGCGAGCCTCTACGTCGCGTGGCAGTGGAAGGAGCGTGATGCAAGTACGAGTCGTCGGTGCTTCGCATCCCGGAAGTGAAGGGTCTGACTTACAGCACGTTCCGGCACGACAACCCGGGGCCACTTGCGCGCGACGATTGGCGGGTGTAGCGGGACGGGGGAGTTTCACCGCGGAGAGCGCAGAGGGTAAGAGAGGTATTGAATCTGGGTCGTTGCCAATGTACGGTATTGGGCACTAGCTGGGGGAGGTGAAATGGCATGGGCAGTGCTCAGGGCGAGATCGTGGGTCTTCGGGTGAAGCTCGGTCGCCGTCAGCCCATGAGGCAGGTCGAGCCGATGGTCTTCGTGGCGGGCAGCGGCCATCGAGGGGCGACATGCATTTTCGGACAAGCGGCATCTGAGGATACCAGGTGCTGCTGATGCAGGAGGAGAACCTCGACGCTCTGCTCTCGACCATGGGGTGGTAGAGCGAGAACGTTACGACCACGGGCATTGACCTCCAGTCCCTTGAGCGAGGACGACGCGGCTGGGCCTGCGGCGATGAGGTCGTTCTGAGGATATCGAAGGAGTGCGTCCCGTGCGGGCTCATGGACGATATCCGTTCGGGACTTCAAAAGGAACTATCGGGACGCAGGGCATGCTGGCGGCGCGGTCGAAGAGGGTCGGAACGGTTGTCGCTCGGGGACTCGGTCCGCGTACTTGAGTGAATGAAGGCACGTCCTTCATCCTAATCTGAATCAACATTGAGGGTGAAAATCGTTGGCAAAATCGCAGCTTTCGGACTTGCTCAGACCGTTCTGGGGCCGGTAGACCCCTCGACCCTGGGCATGACGACCACGCACGAGCACATCTTCATCGACTTCGTGTGCATGTACACACCGCCAACCGAGGCGAGCGCCAAGCATCTCGGCGAGGAACAGGTGACGATGGAAAACCTCGGCTGGGTGCGGTATGACCCGTTCCGCAATATCGACAACCTCGAACTGCTCGATGAAGACTTGGCGATCTACGAAATCGCGCTGTTTGGAAGAGTGGGCGGAGGCACGATCGTCGATGCAACGACCATCGGCATCGGGAGAGACCCGCTGGCTCTCGCCCGCGTGGCCAGGGCGACCGGGGTGAACATCGTGATGGGCGCGGGCTACTACGTGGATATTGTGCATCCTGACGACATGGACGGTCGTTCTGAGGACGAAATCACCCAGCAGATAATCGACGAGTTGACCGTCGGTGTTGGCAACACGGGGGTGAAGGCTGGGATTATCGGAGAGCTTGGCTGCTCCTGGCCGCTGACGGACAACGAGCGGAAGGTGCTGAGGTCGGGCGCGCGCGCTCAGCAGGAGACCGGGGCGGGCATACTCATACATCCGGGACGGAACCCGCGCGCTCCCTTCGAGATACTCGACATCCTCGAAGGAGCGGGCGCGGACGCCGGCCGCGTTATCATGGGACATCTCGACCGGACGGTCTTCGACTCCGACACGCTCTTGGAGTTCGCCGAGCGCGGCTCGATGCTGGAGTACGACCCTGTTCGGCTGGGAGACGTCGCACTACTCGCTTGGCGCGAACGACATGATCCACGACGGCCAGCGGCTCGACTACGTCCAATTGCTTGTCGAGCACGGTCACCTTTCCAGGATCGTGCTGGCGCAGGACGTGTTCTGCAAGTCGCGCACCTTTACGTACGGCGGGTACGGGTATGGCCACCTGATTGAAAACATCGTCCCGCGAATGCGTGACCGGGGTATGCCCGAAGACCATATCCGTCAGATCATGATCGACAACCCCGCAAGAATCCTTACGTTCGAGTAATGGCCCTGGAGAGTAGCGAATGAATACCGAGGAAAGACTCAAGGAACTTGGCATCGAACTGCCGTCGCCACAGTCGCCTGCGGCGAACTACGTCCCGGCTGTCCGAACGGGCAACCTTCTCTATCTGGCGGGCGTCGGGCCGGCCAAGGGAGCCGACGGCACGATCCCGAGCGGCAAGGTCGGTGCGGAACTGACGAAGGAAGAGGGCTACGAGGCGGCGAGGCTGGTGTGCCTGAACATCCTCTCGCGATTGAGGGCAGAGCTCGGTGACCTCGACCGCGTGGTGCGGGTTGTCAAGCTGCTGGGGATGGTCAACGCCACCGAGGACTTCACCGAGCACCCTGCCGTCATCAACGGATGCTCCGACCTGCTCGTCGAGGTATTCGGTGAGCGGGGCAAGCACGCGCGCTCAGCAGTGGGAATGCAGAGTCTGCCGTTCGGCATACCTGTAGAGATAGAGGCGATTGTCGAGGTAGCCGACTAGCGCGGCAAGTTCGTAGTCAGTACTCATGCAAGCCTGAAGACCAGAAGGCGAAGAGGACCGTCAGCCCGTCATCTGTATCGGGCGGCTATCCCGAAACGCGGCGAGCGCTTCCGAAATGTCGTTCAAGAACCACAAAGTACGCGGCGCCATCGCCCTTTTGCTGGTCGTGAGTTCCGGGTTTCTGTGGTACTTCATCGTCGAAGGCTGGCCCGTAATCGACGCCGCGTACATGGTCGTCGTTACGATCACGACGGTCGGATACGAGGAAGTGCGGCCACTCTCGACCGCAAGCCGCGTATTCAATATTTTCTTCATGCTGGCCGGTGTCGGGGTGGTGCTGTACATTTTGACCGAGATTGTGCGGACGTTCGTCGAGGAGCAGTTCCTTGCAAATTTCCTGCGGAGGCGTCGGATGGAAGGCAGACTGGCGGGAATATCGGACCACTTCATCATTTGTGGTTTTGGAAGAGTCGGCAAAGAGGTAGGTCGTCAGCTTGCAGAGGAAGACGTGCAATTCGTCGTAATCGACAACGAGTCCGAACGGGTGTCGCAGGGTACCGACGATGGGCATTTGATGGTTGTAGGTGATGCAACGCAGGACGCGACCCTCTACCAGGCGGGCATCGAGAGGGCTAAGGGCCTTTTCGCTGCAGTCGGCAATGACAGCGACAAATGTCTTCGTCACGCTGTCTGCTCGAAGGATCAATCCAAGCATTACGATTGTGGCCCGCAGCACCTCACCTGAGACAGTGCACAAGCTGGAAATCGCCGGGGCGGACCGGGTCGTGTCCCCGTTCGAAATCGCGGGCAGGCGTATGGCGATGGCGGCATTGCGTCCTCTCGCCGCGGATGTGTTCGACTCCCTTTCACGAGGATCGCATCATGGACGGCGAATCGCCGAAGTGGTCGCAAATGAAGAGTCACCTATCGTGAACCGAGTCGTTCGTGACATAAACTCCGATGAGGGCGTCCGCGTTCTCGCCATAGCGAAGAGTGACGGGGACCTCCTCGTGACTCCACCGTACGACACCGCCGTTGAGTTGGGTGATGCCGTGATGCTCGTCGGGCCCGACGCACAGCTTGAGAAGCTGGAAGGAAAAAGCAATTAGTGGTACCTTATTGTGAGGGTCAGAAATACGCGATCATCGTTTGACAAAAAGTCGATATCTTCCTATAATTCGGCCTATGAGAAGAGAAACAGGGCACACTTCTACCCATCGAAATATCAATTCTGGAGTCCGGCATCGAACTCTATGCCAAGCAGGTGCCGGAGTTTTACGGATTCCTCATTGCCAACAGCTTACGGAGCGTGAAGGAGCTCGCAAGCTCACCGCATACGGCACGCTGTATAAGGCCCTTTCGAGGATGCAAAACCAGGGGCTTCTTACAAGCCGCTGGGAGGACCCCAATAATGCCGCAGCCGGAGGGACGGCCGAGGCGCCGACTGTACCAGGTAACTCAAGCCGGACAGGACGCCTTGCTGGCGGCGCGCTCTAACGTCGGACTGGCGGCCCCTGCCCGTCGACAGGAGCTAATGACCTCCTAGATGAACCCTTCGAGGCTACCCTTCGCCGCTCGCATTGTCCGCTGGTGGGTACGGTTCTATACCTTGGGCCTTCCTGCACGGGAGCGTGACGCGCGCCTTGCGGAGATTGAGTCCGACATTTGGGAACAGGTCGATTCGCCCGCAGTGAGGGTGCCCCAGTCGGTCTCATCACGCTTCAAATCTGCACAAGACTGTTGTTTGGGACCTCGATGGACCTTTCGTGGCGACTCTCCCGGCGCGGAGCGGAGAGGGCCGCGTTCGATGTCGGGGCCAAGTCAATGGCGCAAGGGGGAGCCGGGGCGTTTCACCTTGCGTTCAAGACCCGCATCGGAGTAAGCGCACTGGCTGTTACCACGGCTTTCTTGCTGACTGCTGGCTCTTTGACCGCCATTAGAGACCAGGCAGAGGTTGGCGACCGCGTGGACACTTCGCTCGTCGGGACCGGCTTGGCCGAACCTGAGACACTGCCACATGACACCGGCCTTCCCCGGATACAGTTGGCGGTCTTTGTCCCGCATATGGCGGTGAAGACACGGACAGGACGAGGAGACACCGTAACGACACTCAGCGACGGCAGGATACTGGTCGTCGGGGACTTGTCCAGCCCCGACAACTGGAATGGCGCACGAGTCTACAGTTCCCTCAAGGGCGTTTGGCAATCTACAGCTTATCTGGCCGACAAGCGTCGCTGGCACACGTCGACGCTGCTGCTCGATGGGCGAGTGCTCGCAACGGGCGGACGGAAAATGTCGGGAGAAGTCCTGCACACCGTCGAACTGTTCGATCCCGCGGTCGACTCTTGGACATCGACAAGCATGATGCACCACGAACGAGCGTTCCACGCCGCTGCTCTGCTCAACGACGGGCGGGTGCTTGTCGTCGGAGGGTTTGACAGCGATTTCCGAACTCTCGCGTCCGCAGAGGTATATGACCCCGACACCCGCACGTGGACCCTGGTGGGAGACATGAGCGAGGCGAGGTCATTCCCCACGGCATCCGTCTTACATGATGGCCGTGTGCTTGTTGCGGGCGGGAGTCACACCGGCGCCGGACCGACCGCCATGCGCAAGACCGCAGAGATATATGACCCTGTAGCGAACACATGGACACCGGCCGGTCAATTCGTAATAGACCGTGCAGGCCATTCGGCAACGGTTCTGAAGGACGGTCGCGTCCTAGTAGTCGGCGGCGCAGGGCCGGCGTCGACTATCGCCCAGGCGGAGATATATGATCCCGAAAAAAATGCTTGGTCGCCCGCAGGCAACCTTGCTTTGGCCCGAACCGGTCACTCGGCAGCTATTATGTCGGATGGGCGAGTAATTGTGGCAGGCGGCTGGAGTAACGAGGGTAGTGCAGGACATCTCGTTGAGTTGTTTGATCCACGGGTTGGCACTTGGCTAACCTTGGCCGCATCCCCGTAGACCGACTGTGTCTCGCTTACGCCGCACGTTCACGAATAGCGAGACCCATATTCCATGAAATTACACACACGTCCCGCATCGCCCAATGAGGAACGGAAGTAAGGGATGCGGTCTCAACTGCACGATATGAGGATGAAACGTCTTATTGTCGTAGGTTCAATGGAGGAGACATGCTGAATAGGAAATCGGTCGGTGAAGTAAAAGTTGTTGCAGCCAGCATCAGAGAAAATGTACAAAAGATCATCGTCGGAAAAGACGACGCGATTAACTTGGCGCTCGTCGCCCTTTTTTGCAGAGGTCACGCCTTGCTGGAGGATGTGCCCGGCACAGGCAAGACGACGATGGCTAAGGCGCTCGCACAGTCGCTCGGATGTGAATTCCACCGTATCCAGTGCACACCCGACCTGATGCCCTCGGACGTACTCGGAGTCAACTTCTATAACCAGAAGATGGGCGAGTTCGAGTTTCGGCAAGGACCGATCTTTAGCCAGATCATCCTGACCGACGAGATCAACCGCGCCACACCTAGGACCCAGTCGTCGCTTCTCGAGGCAATGCAGGAACGGCAGGCAACCATCGACGGGGACACTATGACGCTGCCGGAGCCTTTCATGGTGATGGCAACGCAGAACCCGGTCGAGATGGAAGGCACATTCCCGCTCCCGGAGGCCCAGCTCGACCGATTCATGGTACGCATCGTGATCGGGTACCCCACACCGGAGGAAGAGGGACAGATATACAAGCGGTTCGAAGACGACACGGTGCCCCCGGCGGTCAGCGCCGTGACCAACTCCATCGACCTCGAAGCTCTCCAATCCGTCCCGCCGACGGTCAGGGTCGACGACACGATCCGTAGCTACATCGTGAACCTGATTACGAGCACTCGGCGACAACGCAGGTCTCTCGCTCGGCGCCAGTCCGCGCGCCGGCCTTTCCCTTTACAAGGCTTCGCAGGCATGGGCCGCGCTGGAAGGCCGAGACTTCGTGACACCGGACGACGTTAAGCTGCTGGCCCGCTCCGTCTTGCCGCACAGGCTCATCCTGAGCTCGGCCGCACGGCTGCGCGGGAACAGCGCCGACCAGATCATCGCCGACGTGCTCCTAGACACCGTCGAGGTCCCCATCGAAAGGCAGTAACTTGGCAACGACTCGCGTCGAGCCGCAAGACCCCATTCGCACGGTCTCCAGTGACCGAACTTGGCAGACGCTCTGGACGACCTTCTTCGGAGTCTTGCTGGTCGCCAGCGTCATATTCGGACACGCCCTGGGAATCGCATTCGGGCTGATGGGGCTTGTCGCCATAGGGATCGCCCGTTTCTGGAACCGGGTAGCGCTTCAGAAGCTCATGTACGAGCGAAAGTTTCCCCAGGAGCGCGCGTTCTTCGGCGACGACATATATATGGACCTTGTGTTGTCCAACCGCAAGCCGATACCCCTTGCGTGGCTGAACATTGACGACCAGCTGCCTCCGGGGGTTGTACCGGTCAGCGCATCTCTGAGACGCAACATGCAGAGCGGAATTGACAGCCTGAGCCACGCTACGGCGGTAGCGTGGTATGAGCGATAGCTGCCGATGCTGGGTAACAAAGTCGAGGGTGGTTGTGGAGAGCAGTACCATATGGTCGGCAAGAATGGAGAGCGGGGATCCCTTCGGGTTCTTCCGAAGTCGCAAGATTGTGTCCCGGCTGGACACTCTTGTCGTCTATCCAAAGGTTTATCCACTGGATGAGATCGGCATTCCTCCTGCGAGACCGCTCGGTGACATACGTGGCGGACTGGAGATATTTCCCGATCCGTCCCGACCGGCAGGAATAAGGGAATACGTCCGAGGAGACCCCCTCAAGACAATCGACTGGAAGTCGACGGCGAAGCAGCAGCGGCTCATGGTCAGGACGTTCGAGCCGAGTTCGAGCCATACCGTGATCATCGCCGCGGCGGTGGATACCATGGAGCCGTACTGGCTCTCGCTGAGTCCGGATGACCTGGAACGGGTGGTATCAATTGCCGCTTCGATGGCCTCTACATTTCGAGCAGCCAATACAGCATGGGGCTGTTTTCGCAACGATATGCCGGTGCTAAGTCAACGTTCCATGACCGTTCCTCCAAGTTCGGAGCCTGAGCACTTGCACACCATCTTGACCGCGCTTGCCCTGACGAGACCATTTGCTCCGAACGCGATGTCCAGCGCTCTGCTCGAACAGTCGCGCAAGTTCCCGTTCGGGTCGACGATTGTCCTGTGCACCAACATCATCACCGAGAGTCTCCTTCTGGCGATTGCCGAACTTCGTCAGCGGGGATTCCGGTTTACGGTCCTCTATACCGGATCGGATGAGGTGGAAACCCGCCCCCGGATGTCCTTTTCTACAATCTCCGGGAGCACATCGATCGTATCGACGAGGAAGAGCGGGAACGGAAGGAACGGGATTCCTCGGATGAGGATGACGAGGACACTGGAGACGCCGAGCCGACCATGTGGGACAGGCTCAAGGACACGGTAGTCGGCGTGGGGGACGAATCGGCATGATACTTACGCGAGAGAGATTGACCTACGTCACACTAGTGGTCTCCGAGTCCGCGTGGCTCTTCGCGTTCATTTCCATATTAGGTGTCGCCGCCGGCTCCACGGGCAGTCCTCTGAGCTTTTTTGCCATAATCGGCCTTCTGGGCCTCTCGACCCTCGTATACTCGTACATTCGCTGGAAGGAGTTTCAGGCGTTCGAGTTGTTCTATTTTGGGGCCACGTTCTTCGGGATCGTGCTCGCATATATGGTGGTCGCCGCGGCATACGAACCCAACGAGACCTTCACGATTGACTGGATAAGCAAGCTCATTGACTCCACATATAAGGAACAGGGCCGGACATTCCATGGGGTCATGGGAGGCATACTCGCGGTCGGAATGTGGTTCCGCGGGATTCGGTTGGCCACGGTACAGTTCCCCGAAAAGAGCCTCAAATTCAGCTTCCGGATGGGCCTGTTCTTCATCGGCTTTGCGGCCGTTATGGACATCCTCGTCGAGCAGCAGCTGAACATCTTTGCAATGGTCCTCATATTCTTCGGCGCAGGGCTCGCAGGGCTTAACATCGGGCACTTGGTGTCGGAGACCTCGGCTTCCGCACAGACGAAGACGTGGCCGAAGGTGATAGGCCTTGCGGTCATCGGCGTCCTCGTCGTAGGCGGGATGTTCGGATTCCTGCAGCAGAGCGTCCTCGAATTCGTTACCTCCCCGATTCGTTTCGTCTTCGACAGGGTGGTAGAGGGAATTCTCTTAATCGTTGGCATACCCCTCGTATTGGTGCTGGAGTTCATCAACGAGATTATGGCCGCGATATTCTCACGACCCTTCGAGCCCGACCTCGGATCTGAGGCAACTCCCACGCCGACTCCTCAGCCGGGGACGCCTCTGGTATTCGAGTCAGCGAGAGGGGGCGACAACATAAGAGCCCCAGATTTCCTGGTGTTTATAACGCGATTCGTTCGCTACGGCCTTGTGGTGGCCGCGATAGTTGTGGTCAGTATCTTCCTGTACGTGCTCATGCGGAAGATTGGGCGAAGGCTGAAGCGGGAGGATGAGCCCGATCGCGAGGCCCTCGAGGACATGAACTTCGCATCGGATATTGGAGATCTGTTCTCCGATCTCTTGTCGAACGTCAGGGACCTGTCAGGGGCGCGGCGCGCAAGGTCTT